GGTGACGAACATTGTCCAAGGGAGGAGGGGAACCAATAACAGGTCGTGCATCTCGAACTACGATGCTCCTCTAACACTCCTGCTCAGTCTTCATCATTGCGCTCAATGTGAGCCCAACAAATATCTTATCTCATATACACTTTCCGATGCAGGGACTCGAACCCTGGTCGCGTGGGTGAAAGCCACGAATCCTAACCAGCTAGACTACATCGGAAACTGAAAACATAAAATTATATACAGTTCACAAAAGTGCTGTTCAGTCCACCTGCGTGATTGAGGTAGCAACCGAGATGATTGCAGCATCACCAACAAGGCCGCACTAAGGAACATTTCCCAGGTTCGAAAGGAATCTGGTATATTATTGAGACGCGCCTCTATCATTGGTGACACTTATCTCGAAGGATGATTATATCCTTCATTCATTTTCATATTCCCATGAATTGTGGTATCACCAGTCACCACTAACTGTTGTGCTAAATGGAGGTGGTATAACACACAGTTTCCCTCTATCATATGGTGCGTCTACAAGCATTGTGACCAGCCCAATCAGTCACCACGCAACAAATTTACGATTGTACCACTCCCTCCCGAACAAGTCCGTAAGGGTTCATGATGCTGTCTTTCCACCTTATTGGGATGCTACATACAAAACCCCACACTCAGCAGGATGATAGTTGTCGGCATCAGAACCGCGTCAACATACGAGCGAAAATGGAGAACCCGGGCATCGATCCCGGTGCCTCTCGCTTGCTAAGCGAGCGCTCTACCATTTGAGCTAGTCCCCCTCACAATATTCAAATTCTTTCCATTCCGGAAAGATGGGCTGAGCACCCTCGCCCCTCGAACAATGTTGAAGTGGTCCACGAATGGGTGACGAACATTGTCCAAGGGAGGAGGGGAACCAATAACAGGTCGTGCATCTCGAACTACGATGCTCCTCTAACACTCCTGCTCAGTCTTCAATCATTGCGCTCAATGTGAGCCCAACAAATATCTTATCTCATATACACTTTCCGATGCAGGGACTCGAACCCTGGTCGCGTGGGTGAAAGCCACGAATCCTAACCAGCTAGACTACATCGGAAACTGAAAACATAAAATTATATACAGTTCACAAAAGTGCTGTTCAGTCCACCTGCGTGATTGAGGTAGCAACCGAGATGATTGCAGCATCACCAACAAGGCCGCACTAAGGAACATTTCCCAGGTTCGAAAGGAATCTGGTATATTATTGAGACGCGCCTCTATCATTGGTGACACTTATCTCGAAGGATGATTATATCCTTCATTCATTTTCATATTCCCATGAATTGTGGTATCACCAGTCACCACTAACTGTTGTGCTAAATGGAGGTGGTATAACACACAGTTTCCCTCTATCATATGGTGCGTCTACAAGCATTGTGACCAGCCCAATCAGTCACCACGCAACAAATTTACGATTGTACCACTCCCTCCCGAACAAGTCCGTAAGGGTTCATGATGCTGTCTTTCCACCTTATTGGGATGCTACATACAAAACCCCACACTCAGCAGGATGATAGTTGTCGGCATCAGAACCGCGTCAACATACGAGCGAAAATGGAGAACCCGGGCATCGATCCCGGTGCCTCTCGCTTGCTAAGCGAGCGCTCTACCATTTGAGCTAGTCCCCCTCACAATATTCAAATTCTTTCCATTCCGGAAAGATGGGCTGAGCACCCTCGCCCCTCGAACAATGTTGAAGTGGTCCACGAATGGGTGACGAACATTGTCCAAGGGAGGAGGGGAACCAATAACAGGTCGTGCATCTCGAACTACGATGCTCCTCTAACACTCCTGCTCAGTCTTCAATCATTGCGCTCAATGTGAGCCCAACAAATATCTTATCTCATATACACTTTCCGATACTGATAGTCAATCTCGCAGTTTCTTTCTTGTGCAAGGGAAGCCGTCCATCCCTTCCCTCATCAACGAAACGCGAGAATTCGCGGCGAAACATATCAGCATTTGACTCAGGTATACCTTGGCAGATCGCGAGTGACACACTGCGTGCTTCCGAGGCGAGTACCATCAATGAGAATACAAACCGCGCATGATAGCGACCTCGCAACTTGAACGGTGCTGTGAAGTTTGCATCGACGAAAACATAGCCCCCCACCACGACGAGATCATTAAGCTGCAGTAAACTCCTCAACTGGACGGTATACAGTTATCGATGAGCGTCGAGACTCGGAGTTATTAACCCACATATTTTTGGGGGATGCGAGCTAGCACGAATGTGTCGATTCAGTGAGGGCCAACAGAGTCCTCTTCCACTGGGATATCAGTAAATTACTGACAGTAATAGATCGATGGTTACCATGAATTTCTCTTTCTCGGGGACCTGTTGTCAAGAGACGCTGAGTGTGGTGGCGGTAGGTCCTAAAATGATCTGATCATGACGGTCGTCACGATCCTAACAGGCCCAAATAGTATTACCAACGTCGTTAACTACAGCTGACTCCTGACTAAGATTGGTACCAGTCAAGCATCTCGACAACATCCGGAAGCATGATCCATGTATGGTTCTGTTGTGTTCATCTCCTCCATAAGGCTCTGTCAGCTCCTCCAAAGCCAGAGCCCGTCACACATCCCCGATGTGACATCGGACCCGAGATCACTGGCATCGATTTCGCAGTCGCTTCTGAGAGGAGATTCAACGACCTATCCGACGTTATGCTAATGCGATATTAGCATCAACCTAATAGTGAGCATGTCTGCGAACTGAGCGTCTCCGCGGGAGATTGAATATTGTACAGAATCAGCTTCCCCGGAATTGACTACACTACACATCATCAGCAGTGTTCAAGTGAAACTGAGTGAGCTGGTCTACCCTAGCTACCTCGTACCCTCTGTTATATGACATCTGGATACCTCTCTAATGGCCATTCGGGGTATCAGTATCGAGCGAGAATCCAGGAGCGAATGTGAATCCACCTGAGAGGGCACTCTATCCAAGGCTGCACTACTAGGAAGAACAATGTACTCATATCCATCGGAGCTTCGGCATCCGTCGATCCTTCGTCATCATCTGGATGTGCGAGTTGCATCTCATTCAATGCGTCGAACATAGGTTGCAGAGTGCTCTCGGGATTGCTCGGTACAAGACGAATCTGACATTCTGTACGATAGTTTAGCTCCAAGTCTGACTGGAAGGAATAAGTATTCGACGGCATTACCTCTGGTGGGTCCTCCATCTCGTCGTCATCTTCGGACACCTCTGGCTCCAACTGCAGGTACAGACAAGGCTCAGGGATCTCGTCACCTGAGTCAAGAATCGGAAATGCTTAATGTATTATCTTTACATAGTTCAGTAGCTGTGGCATGGAGCTGGATGCTTTTATACTCGATACCGAGCCCAACTGCCTCGTTCTCAATGGAAAGCCAGACGAATCTCGTCGACGTCATCAAAATGACCTGTACGATAAGTTATACGCCTACCGAGATCGTCGAGAATATTCCTTTTCCGGTTAGCTTACCCCAGTCCCCAGACACGCATCACCGACATAACAGCGAACTTGAGTGAACTAACACAGGAAGAAGTCAACATAGAGGCAAACGATAGAGCGCAATACCTTGTGCATGACATGCTCATCCGGCTGCCAGCATGGTTCCTCAGGTCCAGTACGCTCTGTGATGAAAGAAACGCCAGGAGAGTTGATGTCGACTATTGGAGATTGGTTCACCATCGGACTGATAACTATATGATCACAAAGCCCGTCTGAATATGCCATATTCGAAGATAATACGACATCTGACTTCAAGAACACAGGGAAACATTTAAAGCCTGGGTATGAGATCAGCAATGATATACTAGTGATGGGGTGTTGAGGAGATAAATATGGGACAGTGAGGTCTATCTACATGCCACTGAATACGAACTAAACTTGGACGTTCACGAGTGTATCACGAGGGCTATGCTTGAGCTGTGGCAAGCTTGTGGGGCTCGATATGACGTCTTCCAGTACACCCTGACACATGAGTGTAGTAATCACACTGATAGATAGGATATTGATAACCGAGCTGCTTACGGTAGTGTCATCCAGAATCATTGAGCCATCTTCAAGTGATACACCTCTAGGAATGGAGGCCTTCTCGAATAACCTCATTTTAAGGTATCGATTCTCTTCTTCTAATCCTGCTATCCTCTGCTGATACCCCACACCAATATTCCCAGCAGTGAGTATATAGTATCTAGGATAGAGTCTCGAGAAGGGCTATTCCCCCCGTCGTGTGTAGTACATTGTAAACATGGTACATAATCCCATGACGAGGAATAAACTCCCGCCAAGCTTCTTTTCACATTTCGATTGCCGATATGAATCAGAAATAACTCCGAGATACCGAAGAGCCTTCCAATGAAGAGTTGTCCAGAATCGATGTGTCCTGCGCCGTAATGAGCGCCCACGCTCAACATCAGGATCGGTAAGAGGAAGAAGATCCATGGGGTATTTAAATGAAAAAAAGCGAACTTGTAAACGAGGCATGTTCTTCATCACAAGCTTCACCCGAATCCGTTATCCAATACCGTCTATTTCAAGCATGAAACCAAATGTGGCAATCACTCTGTCCAGTCACAAATATCATCAGGATGCTTTGCATACCTAACATGTCGATTGCATGGTTGGCATTGATACGCTCAATTTCAGTTTCCCTATTGAATACTTGTTTACTTCTATTATCAATCATCAATATGGTTCTCCCGTGGCAAAACAATAAGCTTCATTTGACTACTCTTACCTGTAGTACGTCCCTGTCGGTGCTCCCATGAGGGAATAAGGCCTGCCATAATTCTGCAGAATCAACTGAAAGGATGAGTAACCGAACTGAAGTGCTGCCGAGACGTCACACCTTATCGTTTGATTGAATTGCAAGAGCGTTCTTCATGGGAGCCTCTTCACCAGAACGCAGCAATATAACGGAATCGCTGGCGCTACCATCACTGGAGGATAAAACAGCGTATTCGAAATCAGCCGCCTGAAGTCGGCGCTAATGAGAGCCTTCGGTAAGAACCTTTCACCGAACATGTGGCACGACTGTATCCAACTCACTTCCCAATTCGCTGCAGTCTTGTTATTGTGTTTGAATCTGCACATCATTTCACGATGATGAGTGAAATAATCAATTCCAGTGCAGTCTTTTATGCAGTCCACGACACTTTCTGCGTCAAACTGTCCGACAAGATCTACCGTGGCCGAAGACTCTACAAGGAACTGCAGAACCTGGACAACACCGATGCTTCGCTCTAAACTGCAATGCCACTAGTATTCTCTCACCGTTCTGACATAACGATATTCAAAAAAACGTAAGAAGTGGAAGTGCTTATCCTCCATTAGCAAACGAGTATGGAAGGGCATGAGAGGGGGCAGCTGATCAGTGAATGAAACGTCTCCTCATAGACTACCCTCAATACCATAGTACTATGAACTGAAGATGTATTTGCATCTGTGAAGGAGGATAGTTGAATCCTGCCATAGCGTAAGTATCGATGAAGCTCCTGATGGCAACACAATGACCAAGCAGCTTGTATGATATTGGCTACCCCGGATCACGCATGATCTCGCTGACCACTGAAGGACTGAAGAGCTTCTTGACAAATTCAGGATTTGATATAAATTGTGAGACAGCAACATCCTTGGCAACTCGGTAAAGGGCCTGAAGGTAGAGGAGAGAGAGGAAGGAGGGCTACGGCGCGTGCTAGGTCCCCGATCTCGCTAGAAAATCCCCAGAATCGATATGCCGGGTCTGCTTGGGTATCACAGAATGACTATTGCTTCCAACCCGAGGAGAGACGATATCTCGAGATCGAATCCTACATACTGGCATACGTGATTTTTGGGAGAGACCGACGAGTCGAGATCGGCGAAGAACGAAGTTGCAGTCACGTCAACAGGTCAGAGTAGAACTGTACCTCCATGATGTCGAGGCCTTCTCTTGGACGAGCCAGCAACCACCTCCAGTCTGGGAGATAATGTTCGGTTGGTATTACATTTAAATGACATGGACTAGACGCCAACAAATCATCATAGCACAGGAAGGAAGGAGACTGATGAGGACACCACAACATAGCGATGTAATGATTGAATACCATACTTGAGCCCTTATAGGTACTGTGAGGGGATAATCACAAGTCTTCCCAATGCCCAGCATAAAACACATCATCACGTTGTCCGTGTAGGACTTGGCGGTGGTTTTGATATCACCCGAGCAGCTGTTACCTGGCATTCATCATTCTCACAACCAAGATATGCGTATTACAAACTTCAAGAGTAAGTGCACATGCCTTGCCACAAGCACTGCATATCTTAACCTCATTAAGCAACATAGCCTCAGCCTTTTGCTTGGACGCTGGAGATTTGAGGGACTCCAGAAGATTATTGGTTGTGCCGGGGAACCTCGAAACCCCGAGCTACGTGGTAGTAGCCTTATCCATGAATGTACCTTGGACTACATGTAATGTCATTCTGCCATGGGATTGCGGGCCAATGGCCCTGCTTTGCTCCAGCTAGGTACGATACACATACACCATCACCACTGAGCTGATGTTGCAAGGCTGCTAGCATGGAGTTCAAAAAGGTAACGGCAACGAGAGGCAGGTAAGACTAATCAGAGCTCAGCAGTGATATGAAGAGACTCATATCGGAACCACACTAACTGAACATGAACTACCTCTCAAATGTCGTACCCTTGCGGCAATTGTATTCAAAGCACCACACAATCTCTTCCCCAACAAATGGGCAATGGCGAGATTAACATGTAGCATTGTGCTATCGATTGCCTTGAGCATTGTGTGGCGAATATCATTGACTTGTCGTCGTCATCGTTCTCAGGATCTACAACTCCCGTTTCAACACATGTGGTGAAGTTATCGAACAGTATCCCATGCCGTTCGTTCATGGCTTCACTGAATGGATTCATTAAATGGATTCATAGACGATTCGCAGCTGAGGTACTCTCAATGGCAAGCTCCATAGCTCATGATTCGACACACGTCGCTCCACTTGGCGCACTCCGCTTCTGCCATTCGCCATTAGTCGCCGTTAGTCGCCGCTATCGACAGTGTCGAAATACTTACTAGTTCTAACACGATACCTCACCGAACTACAGATATGCACCCCCTTATACTCGGATATCTCCTTCCGAGAGGGCACAGCGACACGACCAAACTCCGCCATTCATACCACCCACCACGCGGCTGCATCCAAGAGAGCTACGATTACACTGCATCGGGTCCGGTTCATTATTCGATCTCTCCTCGTTGTTGGTGAATATTCCCTGACGGCCTTGTCGGAAGAATTGGCAGGAAATCCTAGTCCTCCGAAGGTGGACCATAGGGATGACTGATTATTCATAAAGAACAACTGAAGTTGCACTCCACCAAGCAACCACAATCGCATACCCACTATCCACAGAAGACTATCCAGCACTAAGGAATCACCCCGGCAAGGGATACACCAGTGACATCCACTGACGTAAACACAAAAGACTCCTCCTCGATGATCAACTAATGAGAATACCGATCACTACTGTCATCCTCAGAATGGAGACCTATATCTCTCTAGCAGCGAGTACCTTTGATCGTGTTGAGGCTCCTCTGATCAATACAGCGATTACTAGGAAAGCCTACCTTCAACTTAACACAACAACACTATATACAGTCAAAGAATCGAAACAGTGCAGATCATTCTATCGAGAAGCCTGAACAACTTAACCAAAAATATCTGCGATAGATGGTAGGTTACCACTCATCATAGCCTGCCCTGGAAAATAATTTATGCATTACGCACACACTCATCCATAGCGTCGATAACGTACTGGATATTATGCTGGTTCAATCCAGCCATAGAGATACGACCATTCTTAAGCATATAGATATGATGCTTGTTAATCATACGCTCGGACTGGGCAACAGTGAGACCAGTGAAGGAGAACATACCAATCTGCTTCTTGATATGCTCCCAAGTACCAGGAGTACCCTTGGCGGTCAAACCGTCAGACAGAAGGATACGCATCTCACCAATCCTACCACTGATAGCAGTCAACTCATCTCTCCACTCCTTCTCATAGGCGGGGTTCTCAAGGATAGTCTTAACAATTAAGCCACCATGGATCGGGGGAGAGGAATACATGGGACGAATAACAAGCTTGAGTTGACTGAGAGCACGGGCAGCCAAGTCAGCACTCTTGGTCACGAAGTGGCACATACCGGCACGTTCACCATAAAGACCAAAGTTCTTGGCGAAACTCTGAGCAACAAAGAACTCCATACCAGACTGATAGAAGAGACGGAGAGCATAAGCATCCCTATCCAAATCACCAGAAGCATATCCCTGATAAGCGCAATCAAGAAGAGGAATAAGATGCCTCTCCTGAAGGAGCTTCTGAACCTGCTGCCACTCCTCATGAGTGAAATCCATACCAGTGGGGTTGTGAGCCACAGCGTGGAGAAGGATCAGGGATCCGGCAGGAGCCTCAGACAGACAAGCCATGCAACCCTTGAAGTCGAGACAACGATTTTCAGCATCCCAGTAAGGATACCTACGAGTCTCGAGACCTGATCCGGCAGCACCGAACACCTTGAGATGGTTACCCCAGGTAGGATCCGAGATATAGATAGCAGGCTTGTTCAAGTGTTTAGCACAGAAGTCGCCAATAATTCGCAATGCACCAGTGCCGGACAGAGCCTGGCTACTGGCAATTCTATCACTAGACTCGCCGAAGAGAAGGCGTTGACTAAGAGGCTTGAGGGCCGGGAAACCGTCAATAGGAGCGTACTCCTTATCGACCTTCATGTCAGCGGCCAACTGCTGATCGACCTTACGGACAACATCGAGAACCTTGGGGTTGCCGTTCTCATCACGGTAAGCACCAATACCAAGATTGACCTTGTTGGGAGAGGGATCAGCCTTATAAGCGGTGGCGGTACCGAGAATAGGATCCGGGGGAGCCAAATCACAAGATTCGAAAATGGAAGACATTGCTAGAACTGGTTTAGTAGAACTGTAAAGATCCGATTAGCACGAGAAAAAACATTCTCCTACTAATTCTCACACGGAAACCAAAACAATATTTGAAAGTTAACAAGCAACTCACCTCGACCATGAGCTTACTGCAATACAGCGCATTTCCAAAGTATTTAGCTTGATGGGACAGCACACAACGGACGACTAAGCCGGCTGCAAGATAAGCTGAAGTCCACTAAGTTGCGAGCTATGCTGTAGGCTACACGGTTTATAGTTTCATCAGGCCTTAGCAATCATGAGGCAAATCGTGCGGAAACAAAGATCTTCGACAAGTATACAGTGCAAGGCTTATGGTCACTCTGAGATGTGGGGTGAAGTTAGTCAGAGATTGTGGAATGAGCTGGGCGGTGAAGTCAGCAGGACTATTGAAATGACAACACAATAATTCTGCAGGAATGATAGAGGTATGAGTGGTCAGTGATGGAGGTTTTGCTGCCTCGATAAATACTCATCGCTCAGTTCGAGGAATTATTATACAAGAAAGAAAAGCTCCCTTACGCGTTACGTACACACTCATCCATAGCATCGATAACGTATTGAATGTTGCCGTGGTTCAATCCAGCCATAGAGATACGACCATTCTTAAGCATATAGATATGATGCTTGTTAATCATTCGCTCACACTGGGCAACAGTGAGACCAGTGAAGGAGAACATACCAATCTGCTTCTTGATATGCTCCCAAGTACCAGGAGTACCCTTGGCGGTCAAACCGTCAGACAGAAGGATACGGTACTTGGCAATCCTGCCGCTGATGAGCTTAAGTTCATCCTTCCACTCTTGCTCAAGAGAGGGGTTCTCAAGGATAGTCTTAACAATCAAACCACCATGGATCGGGGGAGAGGAATACATGGGACGAATAATGAGCTTCAGCTGACTAAGGGCGCGGGCAGCCAAGTCAGCACTCTTGGTGACGAGATGGCACATACCGGCACGTTCACCATAAAGACCGAAGTTCTTGGCGAAACTCTGAGCTACGAAGAATTCCATACCAGACTGATAGAAGAGACGGAGGGCATAAGCATCAGCCTCGAGATCGCCAGACGCGTATCCCTGATAGGCATTGTCGAGAACAGGGACAAGGTTCTTCTCAGCAATAAGCTTCTGCAGCTGCTGCCACTGTTCGTGGTTGAAGTCCATACCAGTGGGATTGTGAGCGCAGGCATGAAGGAGGATGAGAGAGCCAACAGGAGCATCGCCAATAACCTTCAAGGTTCCCTCGAAGTTGATCGCGCGATGTTCGCTGTCCCAGTAGGGATACTTTCGGACTTTCAGACCAGATTTCTCGAAGACCTTGATGTGGTTACCCCATGTAGGATCGGAGATATAAATGGCAGGTCTGTTGAGGAACTTGGCGGCAAATTCACCGATGAGTCTCAGAGATCCAGTGCCGGACAGAGCCTGACTACTGGCAATTCTATCACTAGACTCGCCGAAGAGAAGGCGTTGACTAAGGGGCTTGAGGGCCGGGAAACCGTCAATAGGAGCGTACTCCTTATCGACCTTCATGTCAGCGGCCAACTGCTGATCGACCTTACGGACAACATCGAGAACCTTGGGGTTGCCGTTCTCATCACGGTAAGCACCAATACCAAGATTGACCTTGTTGGGAGAGGGGTCAGCCTTATAAGCGGTGGCGGTACCGAGAATAGGATCCGGGGGAGCCAAATCACAAGATTCGAAAATGGAAGACATGTTTGAGTGGTGGGATACGTAACTGAAAAGGTCATGCCATGTATTAAGTACGCTTCGTGTTCCAGGTGAGTAGTTGTCGACTCCAGGTTCCGTATGCTGTGTTCTCCCCCACGCCATCGCTGCGTAGATTCAGCCCCCCTCATGAGAGGTGTCGTCCATCTTCCTGTCTCACACATAGCGCAAGCGAAATAAAAGAAGGCGGCCTCGCTTCGCCACCTTTGCGTGTCGCGCGCGCCACAAAATCCCCTCGTCTCTTGCGCGCTCAAGATGTTCTTCCTCTGGCCCAAGTTCTCCTTCCTCACCGAAAAAAATCTCCTCACCGACGCGGAATGGAGGTCGATTTATGGAGTAAGGTCAATGACCGTTTGTATAGAGAGGGATGGTAGAATTCACGAGGAGTGCCAAATTGATCGATCGCTTACCTGGATCCTAGGCCCGATCGAGACACTCGGAGGAATTGGCAATTTGGGATGACTTCTCGGCGTGTGGCCAGTGAACTTTATGCTACCCTCTGCTAGAGAACTCTTGGACGCTTTTGTGAACAATGGGATGTGAGGTCATTTGAGGTATTACACTTGAATTACTGCACCCTACAGGGGCCAGCTCTTCGGGGAAACAGCAGACACATATCACGTCTGCAGTTACTTGGTTAGTGTGTCGAGGAAGGCAGAGAGCGAGGGAGTGTGCCTGATGTTCCCTTCCATGCTCGGTAATGGTTCATGAATGTCTCAACTGTGGAGTTCTGTGTTTACGAGTGGTGAATGGTTCGGATGAAATATACACCAAGGGTCTCAAAGAGGTCGTACTCATACCGAAACATGAGGGGGCAGTGTCTTACTGGTATTGAGGATGAATCGGTACACTGTCATCCGTACCTATGAGAAACAATGCGCTACTAGGAACTGGCCTCGAGAGTGTTTATAGCACCTGCTATTCCCTGATTATGACCACTCCATCCCTTCGGTACAGGATCTGGTATACGCCTCTTTTGGAGCTCAGTCCATCCTGTCGAATTCGAGGATATTCTAATAACAGTAGAGGCGAAGGAAAACCTCCATCAAGAAAGGGCCCTACTTGCAGAAAGGACTCGTACTTTTGCGATACGGTACCTAAGGTACACCTGCCCAGAGTCCCATCAAGGAATTGAACTAACGATGTTGGGTATGCATGGCCGCCATATGAAGTACTTAGTCTTATTGAACGCTAGCGGCCCATGTTCTGGGCGCTTATCACCACCTGCCATCGTGAAGAATTCTGTGATTGCTGGATTATAGATAGTACCTTTAGTAGCATTAAGACCCTTGGTTGATGCTCCATTGGTTTTCAAGTCACAGAAGACTTGCATGGTCGGGGCCATCTTTTGGTCCTTCAGAATGGCTTGTCGAGCCTCAATAGTGCGGTTATCGTCCATACGGCACTCACACCGACACCTGGTACCTTATTTCCCATATAAAATTCGTAATGCCAACCGAAGACCCTCCACTTGAAGTCCCTTATCCATGGCCGCATACCCATGCGCTGATCGATACATTCCCAGTACGCTAGTTCCCTGCTGACCCACCTCCTCATGCATGCGGTGTTTGATCCTATCACCTTCTCGCCGAAATCGGAATGCCATCTTTTCGTCTTCAACAATAGGACCGAATCCCCATGACCCTCCCAATAACTCAAACAGGAGGACATTTCAAGGTTCGAAACGTTCTCAAGCAGTACTATTCTTGCAGTGCTTGCTCTTTTTACTACGTGGTTTGGACAATACTTTGCTTTCAGGACCTTTAATGAACAAGACTTCAGGAATCGTATCTGAATGCAGTGAGAACATAAGAACAACTCTCCACCCCAATAGTAATCCCTACCCATATCCTTGGCCTTCACTGCCCTTACCTGGGGCTCTATCTCTCTCCGTAATACGAATAGTGCCGTAGCAGTAGCAAGGACATTGCTAATGTCACCTTTAGTACCATTGAGCCTGTTGTGGTGGGCTGCCACTTCGCAAAGAGCGGCTGAGGAACAACAGCTGAGGATAGCAAGGGGATGCACCATATATATCTTACCTTCATCACCAGCAATCGCGGAAAGGTGGCCAAGCGCACCCAGATCGGAGAGTAGTGAACACTTCCCGCATAATACCCGACACTTGCCAGCGGGGTACGTCTTATGCTTAGCACAGTCAGTAACCCAATCCACTAGGATGTGTCTCGAGTCAGCCCTGAATGGATCAAGTCGGAATAACAGCTAAGCCATTCGAATTGATCACAAAGATGACGGGAATGAGACGATAATGACACGTGAACTATAACGGCTCATGGCTCTGTTACTCTACAGGCCACAGTTATCCCAATTGAGTTCCCGTCATTACATTTCCGGTTTCCAGGAATCAAAGCAGCCAGTGATGGGTCCCTCACATACATCACACTTCCGTGAAGTCTCATCTAAGCTGCTCTTCACTTGGTCAGCCGCTTTCCTCACTTCGTCCACGGAACAAGAGTAAGCCTTAGCCAGCTGAATGTCACACTTCATGGTAGTAGTACCTAAAGAGGCTGGTCATGGATTGTTCGAGTCGGTCGAGCAGCGTTCTCTTGGGTCGGACTCCATGACAACAAATGAAGAGGCCCGTCAAACATCATGCCTGGTACCAATTAGCATCAATAACACTTTCTAGAGAGCTCCCCACTCTCGTAATTATGGTTCCCACTCTCACTACATGGCCTCAACCTCGGGCATAGCATATCCAAAGTCCTCTCCAGATGCTGCAGGTATCCGATTACCGAATGCCCTATGTCGGCTCCGACAGCAGCAGCCACCATGTATGAACAAAGCGAACTTGATAGGACTGTTAATTAGGAGTTTCTTTGACCACTGAGTTTCTTGGAAATACACGTACAGATGTTAATACGTACAGATGGAGGGCGACGGGAAAACGTCATCATTACGTCCTGCAGACGTATCAAACGAAGTTTCGAGCAAGTTGCTTCACAAATACCTGTCTCCCTCAAGGTGACAAATGTGATACAATCAACCAGTGCAATTAGATCCGGGTGTCTTATGGAGTGTAACGTCCACTTTCATCGCCCCGCCAAAACGATCAAGAATCATGCTTGTATTCTCGACTCTTTAGACTTGCGCCGCTCCGTAATTGAGTAACACTCAGAAGTATATGCCGTTGAATCTGTGGGATACTGCTTTCCTCATTGATAGTTCCCTGTCTGCGGTGTATGAAATGCTATCAGTATCCGAGTCGGCGCAGATACTGAAGATGATGAGTGAAAAGGTTACTCTCCCGAGGATATCCCCCGATCCTGATGTTTATCTAGATGAGGAAGCACGTAGGCAACTGGAGGGAACCTGGCCTATAGATTTAGTGGGGGATAAGTCCAAGTGGCCGAGGATTATTCATAACAAGATTGATTTCATGTACAATTACACCAGAGTAATTTGGAATTTGTCGAGGATTGCCGACGTTTAGGTATGAACTTGTGAACTCCAGCCATTTGGATGAGTGCTGGGTGATGCCCAACGGGGTGAGTATGTCGAGTCAGTCAGCTGATCGAGGAACTCGACTGGGCATATTGTCAATTCAAGATACATCGACTCGGCCTCGACAAATCGATACCCTATGAAATAACCTGCCGATTGGGTCAGTTTGATAATGCCTACGACTTCGTGAGGAGTTTTACACCAGAGATGAAGGAGACCTACAAAGCTCGGTTCTGTTATACTGTAGTAAATAGGAGGGTTCCTGGGTTGATACGAGCCTCATAGACTATGGTTTATAAATTATGAGTCATAACCCATGAGTTATAGCATCCATACGATAAACATGTTCAGGAGAAAACCTGTGGGATTGGGGATAAGAATGAACGAGTTCAGAAAGAGGCCAGCGGTTCTAGTTTATCTGACAAGATCCAATTCCTTGAAGCAGGCATTACGAGGAAGGAACACCCCATAGAGAAGCATACGATATACCTCACTGAGCTTAGGCAAGTGTTGCTATTAGCATCTTGCTAACTGCAGCTCCTGAAGAACATATCCTTACATGCAGATATGAGAAAGCATACCCACATCCTATAAGTGGAGAACTAGTGAAGACAGTATCATCAATCGATATCAAGGATATAGCCGAGAGCATGCGGCCTAAACCAGCTGATAGGATGTAATCCTCCTAGGTTAGTGCTCTATTCCTCACGTGTTTATGGTAAGGTACATGTATTGGGATAGATATGATGAGGGTCTGTTCACTGGAGGAAAGAACTCCGGAAAGTAGGGGGATAAGCTCAAACTGCCAAGACGCACTTTCAGGTGCATGCATGTAGATCAGTGCCTATGGTCTAATATTGGGAAGAACTATGCTGGATGGAAGCTGTTAGCCTTATGGTCTGTGGCTGATAGTAATGATGTAATTGCCAGCAGTATTGGTGGTAGTTAGCTAGGCTAGACTATGTCATCGTCAGATCCTCGATCAATTATCTCGTGAGACATTCGAAGCACCATTGACCAACTCCCAAATAGCTGCCTTACGGCGAGCTTGTAGGATTGTATTAGTCAGGCCTGGAGATGTCTGCCTCTTTTCTGGTGGTATAGCACATACTGTAGGGATAGTGGCATCTCTAAGTGCTGCTGTGAGAAGGTATAGGTATTAGGTTATCTCGATTAGTAAGGAGCTATCCATGACTGTTTATGAATCCTTCGTGAGCATGAACCCACGTAACATTGAGCATTGGCTCGATAGTGCAAATCCAGCAGTTCAGCATCCAGCATTCACAGTAAGATGATCTCCGAGACTACTCCCGATGTTTATGGTATATAACGCTTATTAGATGCCGGACTCCGATCTGGATTCTATTGAGGATGATGTCCTTGACCATCTCGACAGAGTTGACTTTGTGCTAGATAGAGAAGATAAGGAGGCTTATGAGGCTGGTATGATAGACGTTATTACTCTTACCTCAGCAGATCTCTCAGTTCTCGCATCAACAACATCGAGAACATCACACAAGGATGTAGAGGATACTGTGAGGAATATCAATTCCTATGAGGACTTTGAGGGTCATCACTATCAACATTATGGCCCCGCCATGGGTCAGTTGCTCTACCTACCATACCCATCACCATTATCATACCTCTTCCTCCAGATACAGCTCACAAGCATATTGCTGCCGCTGTAGAATGCGTGACGAGGAAACGGAAGTGAGTATTGCCAGTGATACTGACTTGGTGTATGAAGATTTAATAGGTATTTCCGTAAGGAGTTGCGTAAGACAAAACGGCTCTGTGCCTATATACATTCGCCCTAGCCGCCGCCCAGTGGTGCGCTTCCGTGTATTGAGTTACTGTTACTCCCGTGTTATATTATGGTCGTCAAGTGCTGACGACGATTGCTGCGAATATGTGATTGTGTGGAATCATCTCTGTTTCACACGTATGTTGTGTTCAGTTGTGAGAAAGAAAGCAGTAGCAGTGGTATTGTAACTCGGTCTACCCCTGAGGTTCGTATTTGTCATTCTGATAGACACATGGGCTTTTGCTGCTGACATTGTGGGCGGGGATGCTCGGACTGTGAATGGAGTCGAATTTCAACTCGAATCTATTCACAATCTATCCCATCGTCATTCATCCCAGGTTGCTCTTCCTCTGGGTGGACTCCTACAAATCCTTCCCCTAGTAGAGCCAGCTATTCACCCGCTGGCTAGCCCCCTTTGTGTCACGGCGGGCGCTATATACGCCCACAATAGGACTGTGTATGCATAGTTATTTCTATTATTCGTCGTTAAACTCCATGGACCAGAATGATCGTCCGAACCGCCCCAACAGGAGGGATGAGACAAATAGTGACGGGATACCTCGAATAGACCTTGCACAGGCAGTAGCTCACCCGGATGACCCTGACATATTGCGATATGTGGCAACAGAGGTGTCTTCTGCCATGGAACTGTGAGCAGGAGCGTTACTCGTCTGTTAATGCTGAATCCTTACTTCAGATATGGATGTTTTGTTATAGTCAACCATGGGGTACCTCGTGAGATCTGTGAGGGGGTCGAGCAGACCTCGAGAGAGTAAGACAGGAGCATTAAGACCAACGAGTATGTTTCTGTGTTCAGGTTCTTCAATCTTCCTAGTACAGTGAAGAGGGAAGTATTGGCTACCGCGGAAGACTTTGAAGGTTATGATGCTGGTGGAGAACTACTCTATAGGAGCGAGGAAACGGATGAGTATTTACAGCAGACTAGAGGGCAGGCCGACGCCAAGGAGTCCTACCAAATATGGCCATCCACCTCCAGTTACCCAGGGTCCACTCGATCAGGTATGGGAGCTACATCGTAATCCGTATACTATATTGTTTTTCGAGGTCCAAACAAATGGCCGAGACTGCCACCTGGATTCCGTGATAAATATATGGCATACTACAGGGAGATGGAGCGATGTAGGCGTCCACGAGAGTAGCAATCATCTCTTGTCATCCTCAGTAACGAGTCTTATTTATAAAGTACTCGCCCTAGCACTCGGGAAGGACCCTTGTTTCTTTAATGATATGAATCATAACCATTTGGCAGTCCTACGCCTGCTATGCTACAAGGAGGTGAGCTCGTCATTGTCCCTTTAGCGGTAGTCTATCATTCGAGCGGCGTTGTCAGGAGCCGACTGTACCCCAAGGAGGTGTGCGATGCTCGGTCCATAGTGATTGGGGTCCGTTAACCCTCCTTCGTCAAGCTAATAGCGATGCTTGTGGGATGTAGGACTCTAGCAGATACATCGATGTACGATTAGTGTACTGCAGGTATCTACAGATAGTTGGACCATCGAATGACTGGATAGATGTGAAGACTAGTGGTGATGAAATACTAGTGAATACCGGTGATATGATGGATTATTGGACCAATCATAGGTGAGCCGCTTTGCGGAGTATTCATGTTGTATGTGTACTAGGTGGAGAGCCATCAAGCATCGTGTCATTCAGCCAGAAGGTCCCCTTGTAGAGCCACGTTATAGTTTCGCCTACTTCCATTCCTTCAACGCCGACTCAATGGCTGACCCACATGACTTCGATGCTGATGCATTAAGTCGCCCCGTTAACCAATGGGAATATGTTGTACGGAAAAAGACTAATTCGATAGTTGGTGATGCTCATTGATTTAAAGTAGTTCTCTTCATTATATAAACCCCTTTGTTGATGTGGAGTTGGGAGTGGGATATAATACACCAAAGTTCTCACAATAATCAAACAAGTGCCCGGTGGATAAATCTCCATTCGCCTCTTAGGTTACAGACGGCTGCGGCTGCGCTCAATTCTTATAATGAAAGTACCCATTCCCTCAATAGTATATGAACGAAACATGTATAGTATGATCATATGAGATAACATCAATGATTGAGTCAATTCATTGTCCATGGTCCATGCTGGCTGAATGCCGGATGTTACACACTTTGCATAAATATGTGGCATTCCCCCTATAGCCTGACATAGACTCCATCTACACCAATCGGGATGAGGGCTACATTTTGCTACCGTTGACGTCCATGAAGTCTCTGACCCTATTGGCAGGATTGCCGCTCCTCGGGTTGGACAGGATACTTTGTATAAGTCTGTTGTAACGATCTGGATATGGATAGACATAGTCCTCCCTCTGGTAAAAGCTCCTACCCATTCGGCTACGCCCCTCAAGGATAGGTTCCACGTGGAGTGTATCCGATTCGAGTACCTAGCAGTTGACAAGATAGTCACGACAAAGGAGAAAGAGGGCACGTACCACATCCGCTCCTACAGACACAACCTCCTCAGCAGTATCCGGTGTCTTATCATCGTGATGTACAGGCCTCAACAGGTCCATCAAAATGGTAACATCACTCTTCCTGCGTCCTCGTGGATTCTGCTTATTCCCTTCCGTAAGAGCCCTATGAATACCCCGATACGCTCGACTTAAAGACCTCGAATACCTACTCGTGTTTCCGCAACGACTGGCTTAATTGGGTAGAGAAAGCAGAGCGGAATCGGGCCGTGCTGAGGCGATGCCCCACTCCTCGGCGTCCCTTAGACGAGCTGAAAGGGTGGTCAGGAGGAGGTACCATGTTGAGGTCCTACCGGAACATTGATGCTTCCTCCCCATCTGGGGCCTTCCTCGAAACCGCTCTCGCTGAGGAAGTTCCGCTGGGAACCTCATCATCGTCTTGTATCAAATACTGAGGAGGCTCGTGGCTGCGATTGTCTGTTATCAGCGCCAGTCGATCTCGTCCTGTAAGGGAAGGTAGTGGAAACAAAGCTGTATATTGATACCTAGTTTGGTAACCATCTGCAGACCTGTTACTGAGCTCACATCACGCAAGGTGGTCATCTCAGTCGAGAGGGTTGATGGTACATTGGTGGACCCTCCACTTGGCCATCGTTTCGTCATATTCTGGACGTTCTCAATATGCCTAATGATAGTGATTACAGTCTGTGTGGAGAGATGTGTCCACTCACCTGTCAGAAGGCTTCTGCAGCTGACAGCCTCCCGTCTTAGATTCACGAAAGACGGTCTCGAATTGTGACCAATCCGGATCGCTATCGATGGCCGAGTCTGTTGTCGAGGTAGAAGGAGAGTCTGACGACACCGTTATATCGGCAATGACAGTAACCCACCCTACCTGGGTGCCTCCTAGTGCTCTCACGCTCCTCCTTCTCCTCCTCCCCCTCCGATATGAGACCGAGATGTTCTAATCCCTTGCGGATGAAGCATAGATCGGGCTTGAAGGCATTGGTACGATTGAGCCTTGCTAATCCTGCCAACCTACTAGTAGGAGTAGTAGTTAGAGTTGTGTTGGTGATAATCCCTCACCGATGTCGCATGGTCTTGCGTTGCTTCTGCCGTGCATGTCGTTCATTGATCCCTTTTACTATGGCTGCATGAGGGGTACCCTCGGCTACGAGCCATCGCATTGATACAGCACCTGCTAGTACTGCGAGGAGTAATAGTTATAGGTGAACATTACTACCTGGTATAAGGTGATCTAGTAAACTGAGTGTATGATCATCATCTGTGGCTTGCTTCAAACCTCTAAGGAGTTCTTCACTGTTCACCAAGGCATATGTATTATAAGGTAGTCCATCCAAGCACTGCTGGCGGCCCTCTAGCGAGAAGAAGTCCGTCTGTGTAGTCCGATTGAGGTGCCGCATGAGTGCCACCTATCAAGATGTTTCTCTTCACCATTGTAGCCAGCCGTGCTGATGCTGCTGCTTACGAAAACCCTGTTGCATTGCTGCCTATCGACTTCGGCAATAACAGAGTCCCCACCATCAGTGACTTGAGTACCTCCCTCTAGTGCGGCACCAGTGCATCGTCTATAAACCTTCAAAGACGACTACTATCATCATGCTATATTGATACACCTTACACAGGCAGCCACGCTCGTCGCGTTCTTCACAAGAGCATATAGTTGCTTCACATAGAGGCACCGATCATCGTCATCATCATGTATATCAACCAGCATTCGCAGCTTATCATCTACGATGCATCATCCTATAGTCAGCAATAGTCCAACTACTACCTTTATCGGTATCAATACTGGTCAATAGCGTGAGACATGTTAGAAGCCTCATAAAGTCAACTCGTTGGCCTATGACCATGTCGTGCTGCTCTTCACCATCCATCATCCTAGGACTGTTCCTGTTGTTGTTGCTCCTGCTGTTCTTCATTCCACAGATACTACACCTTGCATTGCAGCCACGAGCAAGTACAAATATTGCTCGAAGTAGAGGTTTCTCGTGCCTACAAAGCGGTAGTATCACTACAGTCTATTGCCCTCTTACTATTACCTGCAGAATATGCCAAGCTCTCCACAAGTGGTAGAAAAGGTAGAGTATGAGAGGCAGCATGGCACATCATTCAATCGATCGAGATGCGACTGCTTGAGAATCTGTATTCTAGAATCATAGGCCTGGTAGGGTTAATCGTAGATATACCTTCTGAGTCAGCATGGGTCGAAGTTGGTTTATGACGAGGGTCTGTGTTATCTTATCATTGAATGTTTGAACCTATTAATCTCAGTATTGATGATGATGACGGCACGAGGTAGTGATACCAAGAATGCCTTGTTCCTCGGGCAGCCATTGAAGATAATCTCTATGAATACTCCACACCATGCCTTAGCTCTCCGACGATTAAGCTCAAGCATCTTCATCGGTGTTAGTATCGTGTTACCCAGAGTATGGGCTATGAGTACCTATGCTACAATGCTAGGTCGCTAGAGTTAATAGTTATCATCACTGTTTGGAAGGTTTCCAATGTCATACATTTCTCACCCCTACTTGCTGTCCGGAACAGGCTCCTAAGAAGTTAATAGGTACAGTAAATAGTGTGTCCCTTCTCACCTTGCCATACGTTCACTCAATTGGATTCCCACACTACGGAGGATACGATGCAAATCCATATACACCATCGTAATAGATGATGATCTTTTCTTGCCATTGGTATGCCGTAGCTTGAGAGCTGGTGCACCCAATGATCCATGATTGAAGATAAGAGTGTCCTTAAGAGTAGCCCATAGACGTCCGATCAGCTCGGTGTTATCTCTCCTGTATTGTGTCTGATAATACACTATAGATGTTCATCTCGATGCTCTTCCTATTACCTTCAATGCTTTATTTAGCTCCTTCACTCGTTGTTGCAATACCCTAGCTTGATCATCCCTCTCTGAGTTCTCAACACTCACCGCCCTCACTGATATCCGTCGTGTATCGGTAGTCATTGTCGGTCACTAATGCTCAATAGCAGCTTGCTATTGCTGCTGCTATCACCACATAAGCTCATAACACTATCAGATACTTCCTGTCGCTACTTATGACAGAACTCAAACAGTAGTGGTGTGTAGAAGCACAGATTTATGAGGAGAGGCTTATCACATGTCCCGACTGTGATCATTTAGAATCATCACTTGACATAATGGAATGACATGTGGGTCGGATGTGGGTGTCCTATGCAATGGAAGAGTGGGGCCTGAATTGCCGATGTTGTAACAGCATTCGACCTCAGCAATGATGGCTATCGTAGTCTTGTAAGTAGTATGTTATTGTGTCATGATAGGTAGATAATCATTATCAATCATCTCCTAGTGTTCCAGCTTCCGAGCCTGTACACGCATCCTATCCTCCTCACGCATATGCTCTAGTTTCTCAGAAGTACCACTAGTCCAAGATAACACCTGTACACCACACGCTGGATGCTCCCACTGACTCCGTCATCGTCTCTTGGTTGAGATATTCATCATCCGATCCAACATCACTGATGGTCGGTGTTGGTATAGTCGCCGACGTTGGAGTACTACTGTACCTCTCGTCATTAGCCATCCAAGCTCACCCAGATAATCACATCTATGGCCGGCAACTTGTACCTCTGGACCAGTAGCGGTTGGCAATGTGGATGGAGGCAGTGGGGGAGGCTGAGACCAAACATGCGACACAGGCATTGACCGTGTAGACCAACCGATGGTATCATCTGGTCATCTCGCCTTGGTCTAAGCGGGAGGCTGGTCTCTGCCTAATTTGTATTATAGTCATGCTCTGCCGGTACCGGAGAGATCGAGGTTGCACCTCTTGTTGTCTCTGATTTCATACTCGAGGGTTGGGCTATTATCAATAACTAGAATGAGGGCATCAGTGGCCCCCTCATTATTGCTGAGGTGTGGATGAAGGATGCCTTTTATGGCGCAGCAGGGGGTTAGGAAGAGTTTGACCATTTGCTGACCTGACGATGGATATACCTCCACACGTAAGGGAGGGGGATAGGATACATATAGTCGGGTATTGCTCTTCCCGATCTGATGATAATTCCTGGTGGTGGGCGGACGCATCAATCTCAGACACAGCTGCAACAGCATGTACCACCTAACCCGGGCTGCTCCATTAACAACAATACCATCATCACGATCCAAGAACATCGATCAGCATACAGCAAGGATCATGGTAGGAGGAATGTGGGAGCATAAGAGTCGTATACTGCCACTGAATGATCGGAAGCGGTGATGATCAGTATGAGAAATGCCTCCTCTCGTTATTGAGTATATCATACCTAGAAGCCTCGTTACCATCCAAGCAGGGCCTGATGACTACCCTCTCCTACTTGACACTGCTGTTGGTTATAGTTAGCCTGGGTTGCATATAATAGGGGTCACAGCGAGTAAGCTTATCCTGAAAACTGCATTAGTCGATATCAAAGAGCACCATGATAGTGACTTACCATCTTCGAGAAGTGATTGTTGTACCGGGTGATACCGAAGTCGGAACATTCCAGTCTATTGCAGCTATGATACCCTTGCTGTTTACCTACTATCCAAGGTGAATCCCCATATGGAGCGTATTCTCACCCAGTTGTCTCCCGATAGCACTGGTTTCTCTATCCATCGCATAAGTGCTAGCTGTTTTACAGTGGGCGAAGGTGGCTGATTCACAGTGTAGTTGGTCTACACTTACACTCCGTCGCACTCTATGATTCCCTAGTCTTGCCTAAATACATCTCCTTACTATATCCAACAAGGGAGGAGTGACCTGAGGGCCTCTGGTCGGCTTCTGATGACATGCTGCTTTTTGCTCATACTCCTCCTTAGTCACCACATTCGATGGTGTATGCTTACCTACATATACATGATGTGGGTAAGGCTACAGGTATAGCTCACCACAGACTATCTTATGTCGATTATCATCATTCAATGAGGGTCTCATCTCTGGTGTTGGTGGGCTGAGAACGCATGTGCATTGTAGAGTATGTAGGGATGAATATGGATACCGAAGATGTCTTCTATTCATCTGGTAGTGCGCATAGCATTGTGGGAAGGCAGAGTGTAAGATGTGATTATCCATCCTGCGTTGTAGTCGTAGATCGCTGTTCCTATGGGATTGAGGCCCCTGAGGATCATATACAACAGCTATTAGGACCCCTCAGAGAGGCCCACCTCCAATGATAACCTCATAAGTCCTCTTGAATCTTGTGGAGGCATCATTATGTTCCCATTCTCTACTGCTGCGCTTATAGCTGAGGAATCATAAGTGAGCAAGAGTGCACAAGTGAATGCATCTGACAGCCATCGAGTGTGCGACCAGTTGAGCGCACGAATGATATCATGAGACGGCTCGTTCAGTGCCCCTTTTCGGTTGTTAAAGTTAATGACATCAACATCATCAGCAAGGTCTAAGGATAATAAAGGTTCTGCTAGGTTATCATCATCATCCAAGAAGAGGTCATCTTCCAGTACTAGCAGTAGGAGGAGGAGGAGCCTCCAGTCTCCCAGCGTTACTCGAAAGGGAAAGGTCGACAGTAAAGCTGTGGAAGGGCAGAAGATCGAGAGTAAACAACAGGATGATAGTGATGATGAGAGGCAAAGGCGTATAGACCTCATCAAGGGTAAGAGGATGAAGATTACGGAAGAGGTGGGTTATATTAGGGGGTTTTCATGATAGCACATGATGCTCAGGGACTGAAGAATTTATCCAATTATGAATATAAGGCTGGTACACCAACGATGTTGGATAACCTGATGAATAAATATTTTTGGAATAATGTCATACTCTTCATGCCTAAGAAGGTAATAGGCAGAGTATTATTCTTATTATTATGTCCACTTGGTTAGATTGCGCCTAACATGATAACCCTAGTGGGTTTGGCTGCAATGGTCTTATCATACTTCTGCATTGCATATTATACACCAACCTTCACTGAGGAGGCCCCTAAGTGGTCCTACTTAGCCAATGCTATAGGCCTCTTTTTGTAATCATGCCTCTCCATCTAACCTCGAGACATTCGCTTGTCAGTTACCAAACGATGGATGCCATAGATGGTAAACAGGCCAGACGGACGGGAAGCGCTGGTCCTCTGGGTCAACTATTTGATCATGGTTGTGACTCTATCTCAACCACCTTCATCTGTATGAGTGCTATGGCAAGTAAGTGGTATTCTGTGTCTATTGTAGCTTTAACTATATACTAGGCACAGCCATCGGATGCGGTCCTCGAGCTATGGCATTCCTCATGTTCATGATTGTACCCTTCTTCTTAGCCCAATGGGAAGAGTAATATACATTGTCATTGTACATATACACTATCTTTATATTCCAGGTATCATACTCGTGTCTTCCGTAGTGGTCTGTCATTCTATGGTGTAACAGAAGCCCAATTCACAAGTATGGGATTACATATGATATCCTGCTTCTTTGGACCATCAGTGTACTACCTATTGTTCAACATGGTCATACCTAGGTTATCGATCATGTCAGGTGGCACATACAGCCCATACCATTCATCCATCTGGAGATCGTAGATTATATTGTGATTGGTATCAGTGGGGTGACTACTTATGGTAGCATTGATGCTATGTTTAATGTGGCGAGGCATGCAAAGCATACAGTAAGTAGACGATATCTCGGCAACCAGAGGAACCCTCACTACCATACCCAGTCTTGCTCCTCCTCCATCTTAGCGTACCGCAATGATGCAATTGATACCCATTGTGGCCCTCATGGTATGTGGCATGCTCTGGACCCTCATACCAACAGTTCATCCTAGACTTGTCCTCGGGACTTTTGGTAAGTGGTGTCATACTTTGCCTGTTCCCATCACTCTTGTGCTCATACTCAGGCATCGCCTTTACTTATTTAACAAACAATATGATACTGTGTGGTATGACTGGTATGGCCTATCCTAGATATCATTCCCTCTTGGTATGTTGTATGAATGATGGTTATCCCATATGTACCATTATCAGGTACCATTGCCCATCATATTCGTCATAGATTACCTTCATCTATTCCCACGGCACAGTGATATCATCCTAGGTCTATATTTAGGCTTCTTGGTTTACAAGAGCTGGAAGTAGGGTCTCTTTAAGCTCTGCATCATCATCATTATAATGGTCTATCAGGTTTCTGACGGATTCGATGGAGGAGATAAGCATGTATTTGGGGATATACGCCCTCTCTATTACCAGGAAGCGCCAGGCATCACAGTGATAACAAGGCAGCAACAAGACGGCCTGTACTGTATGGAGTCGACCACCACCACCATTGCCTCATTCTTACTGGATGTCTATATGCTCGCTATCACCTCACTGTGACAAGTCAGCTTCTTCATTCACTGTTTCAAGTGGTAGTGTCGTGGATAGCTTCATATGATCGTACTGTAATGATGTAGTATTGTGTTGTTATGGATGCATACGCTCAGTACTATTCTTTATTCTCCCCTTCATGAGATCACCATGTCCACCAGCAGATGAAGGACGGGTTACCCCAGTGATAGGTCCTCCTCCTACCTCTACAGATAGCTCTGGAGTAGTAGTACCACCACAGCTGTCTACCCATCGGTCATTGGTCCCTCACCTATGCCTTGGTCAACTCCTAAATAGTAGACCAGGTTTACAATTGATCATCATTGCGCTCATACCAGCATTCACGGTACTCGTTTTTGGACTTCTATTCCGGAGCATGTTACTTGCCATGTTCTTTATGCATGCTGGGATGATCCTCTTCCCTTTGGCCTTTATTCTGAGCAAGAGTGACTGCACTAATTCTATCCACTCTCTCTGCTTGACCCCTCTACATTGGTATCACCATTATTACCAGTCGGAGATGGCTAGGTCAGTGAGTGGGTATGCTACGTTGTTGCTATCAATAATATCATTCTTTGTTACCACTTTATGTGGTAGCCTTATATACCTCATGTTACAATGTTCAGGTAGATGGTGGCAGATACTCTGTATCGGGTCCTATGAGTCCCAATTGGATATCTTTGGTCTGGGATCACTCAGAGGTGATGCTGCCCATCTCTTCATAGATGTATTACTAGCTCTCTACTTTATCATAGTGAACCCTATTATCGAGGAGTTCTTCTGGCGTATATTCCTTATCAAGGAGTTATCCGATGTCAGTCGGAACGGGCCACTTATGGGGCGCTCGTTACCAGCATTCTTACCAGTACCTACCATTGACGAGGAGGAGGAAGACGATGGTGATGAGATACCATCACCTACCGCCTACCCAGTGGAAGGTATAGTAGATATTGAGGTTGGCAATGGTATAGATGTGTTCATGGATGAGGAGATTGCGAGATCAGCCCCATCGATGGTCGCATCTATATCTCCCACACCATCAGTTGAATTATTAAAATCCTCTTCGGAAAGTATTAACTGGATTGGCTCAGCTCTATATGGTTCCTATCATATACTTGTAGTATGGGCACTACTTAACTCATTCCCTTATGCTATACTAGCCTTCGTCATACTAGTTTTAGTGGGTAGACTACTTATTTGGATAATACAGTCCGAACAGGGGCCCACTGCTACCATATCAGGCTTCTGTCTAGCCACTGCTGTAGGAAGGGTTCCAGGGATAATGGTATCTTACTGCTCATTCTCAGGTACACAGTGGCCTTGATACAGTAGTTGTATTCGCGCTAGCATCAGCCCTGAGGATAGTCCAAGTGAATGGTGTAAATTAGGGAGGAATTGTATTCTCATACCAGGGGTGCTCATATTCCACTGTCTAGGATAACATCCTCCATACTAGCGTGCCTTCCTGTCAACATTGTCACTATGTATCATTGCCTGTGTATATGTAGTATGATATCATTCTAAGGATGTTCCAATATCATTTTCTCACCTCCTGAGCGACGGGTTTTGAATCGAGGTCTCATTCTTATCATACAAGACAGTATCTCATCATCACTATTATGTCCAGTTCAACAGGACACCGCGATGCTGCAGTACAACATCGGATGGGATCGCATCATTCTGGTGATAACGCATGAATGAACGGTTCGATGATGTAGCATTCTGTAAGGCAGGTGGTATGGATGATATGAGTATAGTCACAGTGGCGGCTAATGCTGGATTGAAGTTCGTCAAAGTAGGCAAGTTTTGGCATGTAGCCGTTATTATTCTCTCTCAGAAACACTACGTTATATCATCCATGTACATCATCGGATTACTGGTGGCGCTTTTTGGTATGTATCGTCAATGCAATGGATCCCCCCCCAACTCGATCCTTTCTAGGTACCGGTTTCCACGTGGACCCAATCACAGCCGCACGGTATGGTCAAACCTTGGAACATATCGATGTAGTGCAGGGCCGTCAGTATAGATCAGTTATGCAAAAGTTGGACAGAGCTGATAGAGAGTACTACAATAGTAAAGGTAGTAGCATCAATGACAGTAATGGTAGCCAGTGCAGTACTACTATTACCACTGCTTTAGGGTGGTTCTCATGCAATGACGAGTGCCAGGCTAATTACCAGAAGGTTCAAGACTTGAGGGACCAGAAGGCAGTAGTTGAATCCAAGATATACGATTTACAGGTAGTAAACCTATACTTGTTATGATAAGAACTGATTAATCAGCTTGACGCTAAGAAGACGGTGGGTTTATGGTCAAGCTATGCTGCACAGGATATGAGGAAGGACTTCTGGAATGTATGTATACCCTATGCTTATACTCGATCATCTCTGCCACCATTAGTCCTGGAATGCTGGCAAGGACATGGCGTCTCATTGGACTCTCTGGGATGCATTATTCATAGTAGCAGGTGGCGATTCTAGAGATGAGACTCTGGTATCCATGATATTACAGACAGTGTTACAGTAGGGCCTGAACCAGTACCATGGTATGAGCATGTTGTATACAAGGTACATCATGAATTTAACAGTTGGCCTCATAGCAGCTATAGGCGCATTTGTCACTACTGTACCAGTGGCTATCGCTTCCTATGGCCCTGGTCTTATTGAAGGTATAGTAGCCTTTAGATAGTCGCATTAAAAGTGGCTCTCTATAGGCGTTGCATACTTCCTTCTGGTTCTCTGTGCGGCAGCTGCTGTTGTGGTATCTTTCCTCGGTACCATTTACGGTGGTATAGCAGGAAGCGGATACTACTTGATAAAGAAGGTATTCTTCATATAAGGTGAGTCCTCCAGGACTGAATTTCATTATCAGGCGCTAGATAGAGTGGAAGCAGACCCCCAGCAACAGCGGTATCGTGAGGTACGGTACGATGAGCGATATCGTCCTCATTACGAATAAAATGCCATTTGGATGATATGGACATTTAATAGATGATCCTATGCGTTCCCATCAGTAGTGAAGTTTCTTGTTATGATGGAATTGTGTTGTTACATGACTGGGATTAACCCTCCATGCGTGAATTATACGAATGACGGCTATATGGCTCTTCAATTTAGCTATTACAACATCACCTTTAACTACAGTAATGATGATTTTCGCACGCGCCTTCATTCTTGCTGTAAGTGAACTGTCCCCTAACCCTGCTCCTGTGAACCAACAATAATCAGATTATCGCCGGAGCCTGTGTTGGTACGGAGAGCTCCCATCACCACCACCACAGCAAACACCATGGAAAGCACCAGCTACTACGCAAGGGCCACTTCATGCATGTGCTGAAGGAGAAAGGCTTGCTGCTCTCTAACAACAACGAGGAGCAACCTCTCCCGAGTCCAATTCATATCGATCCTGTTCAAATAGACTTCAGCAAGGTATACTGCTCTCAACTCATACTACTGTTATTATATTGCTCAGATTGGACAAAGTCTTCAGAGAAGGATTAGGCAGGACGAAAGTATGATAATAAGGAGGCTTGCACTCTACAATATGGCATTGATCT